GGAGGCTGTAGATGCCTCAGTGTGGACTGTGGTGTGAGTGATCTGAGGAGGCCCAGTGGTTTCTGTCAACATTGGGCTGCTAGAGAAGGTTGTGGGTTCCAGAGTGAAGACAGTTGTTTGGAATGACTCTGTAGGTTGAGATCCAGGTGTTAAACTTGAGCTCTTTGCGAAGGTTGTAGATGCCTCAAACTGGACTGTAGTGTGTGTGCTCTCAGGAGGTACAGCACTTTCTCTTAAAGTTGAGGAGCTCTGGAAAGTTGTAGATTCCTGAGGTAAGGCTGTTTTGTGGGAGGTCTCAGTTGCTTGTGTTGAAAATGAGCTACTCAGGGAGGTTGTAGATGCTTCAGGTTGGACTGTGGTGTGGGAGCTCTCAGGAGGTACAGCTGTTTCTGGTGAAATTGAGGGGGTTCGGAAGATTGTAGGTTCCTGAGTGGAGACTGTTGGGGATTTCTCAGTTCCTTCTGTGGCATGTGTAGAAATCAGGCTACTAAGGGATGTCGTGGATTCCTTATTCAGAGCTGAGGTGTAGGACAATTCAGTAGGTAGGGCTGTTTCTGGGGACACTGAGCTGCTTGGAGAGGTTGTAGATTCTTGAGTGAAGATGGTTGTTTGCAAGGTATCAGATGGTTGAGATGAATCTGTGGAAATGCGGCTTCTTGGGGAGGTTGTAAGAGGTTCAGTCAGGACTGAGGTGTGAGTGATCTCAGGAGGTACAGCTGTTCCTGTGGAAAATGAGGTGCTTGGGAAGGGTGTAGATTCCTCAGTGAAGACTGTTTTGGAAGTCTCAGGGACTTGTGTTCCAAGTGTTGTAATCAGGGTGTTTGGGGATGTTGTAGATTCCTGACTGACCATGGTTGTTGGAGAGGTCTCAAAAGCTTCAGTTGACTGTGTCAATATTGGACTTCTTAGGGATGTTGTAGGTGCATCTGTCAGGGCTGAGGTGTGAGTGACATCAGGAGGTCCAGCTGTTTCTGTGGAAAGTGAACTGCTTGGTAAGGTTGTAGACTCCTGAGTGAGGACTGTTGTTTGAGATGTCTCAGTTGTTTGAGTTGCTATTGTTGAAATCAAATTGCTCTGGGAAGTTGTGTATGGCTCAGTCTTTCCTGTACTGAGTGAGGTGTCAGGAGGAATAGCTGTATCTGTGGAACTTGAGCTCCCAGAAAAGGTGGCAGACTTCTGAGTAAATATTGTGTTGGTGGGCTCTGTTGCTGGAGTTGGATGTGTGGGAATTGGGCTCCTTTGGGAAGTTGTAGATTCCAGAGTGGACAAGGTATCCCATGATTCAGTTGGTTGAGTTTCATGTGTTGACCCTGGGGTCCTTGAGGAGGCTGTAGATGCCTCATTTACAGCTGAGGTGT